GTTAAACTGAGAAGGGAGGACAGAAGTAGTGGGATGTAGTTGCCACACACTGTGACAGCAGTTTAAACATGATTTCCAACAGCGAATGCTTAATTTTTAGGTCTGTCGTTATCTTCCTCTGTAACAAAGCTTTGCAGTACGTATGGACTAGATCAGTCACTGTTGCTCAGTTTTGGATTATGATCCTAACCTCCAAAGCAGTTGCAACCCCTCCAAGCTTGGTATCATCTGCAAAATTAATAAGCGTACTCTCTATGCCAATATCTAAATCGTTGATGAAGCTATTGAACAGAACTGGTCCCAAAACAGACATCTGTGGAACCCCACTTGTTACTCCTTTCCAGCCTGATTGTGAACCATTAATAACTACTCGCTGGGAACGGTTATCCAGTCAGTTATGCACCCACCTTATAGTAGCCCCATCTAAGTTGTATTTGCCTAATTTATTGGTAAGAATATCATGCAAGACTGTATCAAATGCCTTACTAAAGTCTAGGTATACCACATCTACCTCTTTTCCTTTATCCACAAGACTCGTTATCCTATCAAAGAGAGCTATCAGATTGATTTGACATGATTTGTTCTTTACAAATCCATGCTGACTGTTCCCTCTCACCTTATTATTTTCCAAGTGTTTGCAGATGATTTCCTCAATTACTTGCTCCATTATCTTTCCTGGCACAGAAGTTAAACTGACTGGTCTGTAGTTTCCTGGGTTGTTCTTATTTCCCTTTCTATAGATGGGCACTATATTTCCTCTTTTCCAATCTTCTGGAATCTCTCATCTTCCATTATTTTCCAAAGATGATAGCTAAAGGCTCAAATATCTCCGTCAGCTCCTTAAGTATTCTAGCATGCATTTCATCAGGCCCTGGTGACTTGCAGACATCTAACTTTTCTAAGTGATTTTAAACTTGTTCTTTTTAAATTTTATCTTCTAAACCTACCTCCTTCCCACTAGCATTCACTATGTCAGGCATTCCTTCATCAGACTTCTTGGTGAAGACCAAAACAAAGAAGTCATTAAGCATCTCTGCCATTTCCAAGTTTCCTGCTACTGTTTCCCCCTCCTTACTGAGCAATGGGCCTACCCTGTCCTTGGTCTTCTTCTTGCTTCTAATATATTTATAGAATGTCTTCTTGTTTCTCTTTAGGCCTGAAGCTAGTTTGAGCTCGTTTTGTGTCTTTGCCTTTCTAATCTTGCCCCTGCATTCCTGTATTGCTTGCCTAAATTCATCCTTTGTAATTTGTCCTACTTTCCATTTTTATATGACTCCTTTTTTATTTTTAGATCATGCAAGATCTCCTGGTTGATCCAAGGCGGTCTTTTGCCATATTTTCTATCTTTCCTACGCAGCGGAATAGCTTGCTTTTGAGCCCTTAACAATGTCCCTTTGAAAAACCCAACTCCCTTCAGTTGTTTTTCCCCTCAGTCTTGCTTCTCATGGGAACCTTACCTATCAGCTCTCTGAGTTTACCAAAATCTGCCTTTCTGAAATCCACTGTCTCTAATTTGCTGTTCTCCCTTCTACCATACCTTAGAATCATGAACTCTGTGATTTCATGATCACTTTCACCCAAGCTGCCTTCCACTTTCAAATTCTCAACCAGTTCCTCCCTATTTGTTAAAATCAAGTCTAGAACAGCTTCCCCTTCAGTAGCTTTTTCAACCTTCTGAAATAAAAAGTTGTTTTCAATGCAGTCCAAGAACTTATTGGATAGTCTGTGCCCCGCTGTGTTAGTTTCCCAACATATATCTGGATAATTGAAGTCCCCCATCACCACCAAATCCTGTGCTTTGGATGATTTTGTTAGTTTGCAGGCCTGTTCGATTACAGGCCAGAGTGGTCCTAGGGCAGACTGTCTCCTCTTGGTGGGACACAATGGGAAATTATTGAGGACTTTATAATTTTTATGGCTATTGTCAAGCCAAGCAAGGAGATGGGCTATCCCAAGAATCACTGTTAGCAGAGTGAGAGCATATCATTTCACAACTCATCACACCAAGTGTGGAGCTGTTTTTTGTGTAACATGGAGGAATAACGTTCTGTGACAGGCTGACCTTTCCTCTAGATAGGTCAGTATGCAGCATCTGTGACACTCCAGGGTTCGCATGGTGCATATTTTCAGTTGGATCTTGTATTTAAAAATCTTTATTTCAAATTTGACTTGGGTTGGAAATGTTTCAAGTTCAAAGTGATGGTATCAGAGATGAAACACAGCAAAATTGGACTTTTACTTTGAATCACCTCACAATTAATGGCAAAGTCAAATAAGTTTGCTTTTTCATCTGTTAAAGGAGGGACACATTCTTTAAATGGTTGAAAATACTGTTTCTTAACTGAACTGGACTGCAATAGAAGAAGCTTGCATACTTGTGCAGTATATGGAACAGATCAACAACAAAAGTGGCTTAACTGAAACGTGAGAAAGTACAAAAAAACAGTGGCTTTCTGAGGGTGGGTAGAATCACACAACAAAATCAAGTAATTCTCCACCCAAGCATTACTAGTGAATGACTTCACCAGTTTCCTAAACGTACTCCAATAGTCTTCCTGCCTCCACTTTATAAAGCCAAGCAGTGATGTCAACTGTCCACCTGTGAGAGCGATGCTGCCTCTAAGTCAGGGCCACTGGGAACTGTGATAAAAGCCATGCCACTGTTAATTACATACGCCTCATGTTTTACTGCTGATTTCCTCTGATAAGGCTCAGTTCATTTTTCCTGGAAAGACTTCCACACTGAAAGGGAAACAGAGCCAGCCATAGCACAAAAATAACATTGCTTATAGAATGCGAAGACAACATGTCATGTTTATGTATACAAGAAGCTTGATGTCCAATTTTAATGATAGATTAAATATGAATTGTATTAATTTATACATGCTAGTGATATACGATTAAATTAGATGTTTGTTTCAAATAATTTGCTGAAAGAGGCTGTATTACTTTACCCCCCCCTTCAAAATACTCTTTTAGGTTAACTTTGTTCTTATTGTAAAGAGCTTTGAGCCATGCCAATTAAAGCAGAGTTATAAGCAGTGGATTGTTTAAAAAGGTGCTGTTACAATTACTTTATAAAATATGTGAGCAATATTAGAAAAACTAATTAGAAGTTTAGCCTATCTGAAAACAATCAACCAAACACGAAAAGAGCAAATTGTAGAACTAATATGACTCTTGCATATAATCATATGATCATTCTATGTGTATGTTACATCCATTGTCTATTTAGACTGTAAGCTCTCTGGACACTTGTTCTGTGTCTCTAGCTCTGCTACAATACAAATACATAATAATAAAGAATGACTAAAAGTACATACAAAGAGACTGTAGGTTACAAATTACACTGTTCATTCAGTTCTTTTTACAAAAGAGATCTGCAGATGATCTATGTATCTTTCATTAAAGATCGAGTGCCTGGCTCACATGAGTCTTTCAAAGGCTGGCCTGTTGCAAATTATATATGCAAAACCTGCTCTATAATTATCTACATTTTGGTTCCAGGCTTGAAACTGGCATAACTGCTCCAGGTGGGTAAACAATATAAAGGCTCAAGTGTTCCTTTTATTCTGGCCAGTACCGACCCAGGAACAACCCTCCCTATGCACTTACTCAAGTTAGTCCTAACAGTAATCTGCACAGGACATACATTTATGGTAAGTCACGGCTAGTATGCATTAAAATACGCATACCAGGACGCACTACTAAGTCCAACCTCACCATGTCATTCTGTGGCAACAGTAAGAGTAGCATTTCTATGGGTATGAAGAGGTACCAGATACTATCTCACTGTCACTTCCCTAGCTAGCCATATGTATGTGCAGTAGAAGCTCGAATTTGGCAGTGAGAAGAGAATTTTTAATTATTTCATTCTACTTTCAGTAATTAGCGTTTAGTGTTATTAATATATCAGATATTATGAGCTTGTCATTTAATGACATGGAAGGGTCCAACCATGTGACTGATAGCACTCTTACAGGATCCTAGTAGCCACTGTACCACACTTGTGGTGAATGCACTCACCCTGGTCATGTACATAGAAAGCATACCCCAAGGCTAGTGAGTCCTAATGACACAGTTTCCTGACCTCCAGGAACTCTCCTTCTCAGGAACAACTTCCTTCCTTGCTTCTAACACTTGATTGTTTCAGAGGGCATTTAAAACAATAAGTTTGATGCTCTCAGTCATTCCCCCGTGTGCTGCCATGTAAGGAAATCATGCTGCGCTCTGGGAAGATGAGATAACACCAGGAGAGTTTTCTCCTCCGGAAATCCAGTCAATCCTGTGTCCCTTCTCTAGCATCATTCCATGATTCAGCTACATGACTAGGAACAGCTCATACCATGTTATGTCAGTAGCTGTCCAACCGTTGTTGACAAAAAAAAATTATGTGGCTAGTGATAAGGACAGCAGCCAATCACAACAGTACACCAAATGAAAAAGTGTAATGTTACATATTATAAGCCTTGTACTCTAAGCTGTTATTTTAATGGCTGAGTAGGAGAAAATATTTCTACAACGAATAGAGTTACAAAGTCTTTACTAAAAATGCAATACTATATACTTATTAGTATTTAATATTTAGAAATTCCTGATCCTGGCAGCTGTATATAATACACATGCAAAGGGTTCAGACCATCCATCTAAATCCAGCAGAACATGAATATTAACTGATTTTTTTTTCAGGAAACCAAGGACGCCAGGGTTGTAAATCTCACTTGTGTGATCTGGGTGCCTAAATCTCTTAAGATCACTTGAAAATGTCCAAAACACCAGCAGAAGAGTTACTTTTTCAAATTAAATGTAAAACTCCAATTGAGGAATTACACTAGCCCATCTTGTCCTACTGGCAGGAGCCAAAGGCACAGGAGAATACAATATTTGAAACATGAACTATCTGCAATCACTTATATAACACATGAAAATTTTCTTTTATGACCAACTGTGCTATGAAGAGAGAGAGAACATACATTTCAAGTCTAATATTTATCACTCACCGTTCCTACTAATGGATAGATGAACCCAGCTCCGATGCTGGCCCGCACATCACTAATAGGCAGAATGAAGCCAGTTGGAACTCCTTTCCTTTCAGGCTGGTGGGAGAGGGACAGATGAGTTTTTGCCATACAAATTGGCAGATTTCCAAAACCCTGGCAGAAGACAAAGGAGGAAGAAATATTTGTAAGGTTATTCACAGATTAATAAATTCATTAGATTCCAAGGCAAGAAGGGACCAACGTGATCCTCTAGTTGGACCTACTGAATAACACAGGTCACAGAACTTCCCCAAATAATTCCTGGTTAAATGAGAGTCTATCTTTCAGAAAAAACATCACATTTTGATTTTTAAAATTGCAAATGAAGTCCCTCACTTACATCATCTCACCTGTTACGTATCTTTTCAGTCACCCTGTTTTAGGATTAAATAAAGGCACCTAGTTCTCAAATGGGTAGGCACACACATGATATTTAAAAGAGATACTTAACAGCGAGAAGGCTGCCTTTCACCAGACTGATTGGAAAACCTTGGTACAAATAGCACCATGATATGCAACCTAGCAGTAACTGATGCTTTGCTTTAACAGGAAAGAGATTGTGATTAACCACATAAAAGGAGGAGTTTGTACATATGAAATTCATACTAAAAAAGTATTATTAATCCATGTGCCGTGGTTTATACACTAGCTTGAAAAATCAAACACCACACACATATGTAGATGTTATCAGGTATAAATAAAGCTGAATTTATCATATTTTGTGAAATATGAAATCAAACCTGTCCAATAATTGACCCAATTCTCTACTACCTTGTACTTTGTGTAAATATTTATGCTTGTGCAAAGTGAGTCTTCAGAAAATGCCTACATGGCAACAACAAAGCACAATAAAGGGCTGTGCTTTGTAAAGTATTTTAACATATAGTACCTATCTTTAAAATGGGGAACAAGGAAGACCTGGGAAATTATAGACCAGTAAATTTAATTTCAATATGTGGCAAGATATTGGAGAAAATTACTAAAAAAGCAATCTGTAAGTACCTAGAGGATCATAGGATTATAAGGAAAAGTAAACGTGGATATGCCAAGAGCCAGTTATGCTAAACCAACTTAATTTCCTTCTTTGAAAGGATTACTGGCCTAGTGAATAGAGGAGTGTGACGGACCCAGCGGGGTCCACACTGGCCCCGGGGGGAGCGTTACCCCACCCCCGGGCGCGGAAAAGGACGCCGCGGCCGGAAGCGGAGGGGCCGATCCCGACCGGCCGGTGAGAGAGAGCTGGACAAGCCCGTGGCGGGGTAGGCGGGGCCTGACCAGGGCTGCGGGGATGCGCCTCGCACTAGGGGGCGGAGCCACAGGCGTGCGCTGGGGCGAGCCTAGAGAGGAAGACAGAAGGGGGGTGGAGCTAACCCCCCTGACATCACTCCCCAGGTGCCTTGAAAAATGGCCGGAGTATGCCGGCAGCGGGGGGACAGAGAGGTGGCCACACTGGCTTCCAGGAGCACCAAGCCTCCCGCCCCCCCGGGCGAAGAAGGACGGCTCCAGCGGACTCCGGATCCCGGGTGGACAGACCCGGCGGCTCCGGCAGGGGGGAGAAGA